ATGGAACCAAAAAGGCACCTGTCGCATGATAGTGGGATGCGACTCGCATTCCACTAGCTGCCAACATTCATCAGAGTAGGGGATAGTCCAGGCCACTGTTCCTCAAGTGTGTAAAATATAGGTTACCCAACATGCCAAGTGGGAAAGACTTCGGCATTCTGCTGCTAATGCGGTGCTCTTTCCATGTGTCAGTATCCAAATCAATACCTGAAGACACTGCCACACCTGAGCGAACTTGGAGACTCTCTACAAACACCCATCGCGCATAATCGCTCAAATAAATGAGCCAGAGAAACCGATTACTCGAGTATCACTCACGTCCGTATTTGCTCGAATGTGTGCTTTGACCCAGCTCAAGCCAGCTGGACATGGCAGCCCTGGAGAATGCTGATGTCGCCGGCCACCATTACAGCACCTAAGGAAACGTGATGTGATCTGGAAAGTCTAACGAATTCGAAAATTGATAGTTTGAAATTATATCTCCCCTCTTTAGCGACAAAGACGACATTTATTGAACCAGTTTGCGCATTCATGCTTGAGAGAATGATAATCAGAAAACACAAACACATTCCCGTGAACTTGAAATTCCACTGCACGAAGAACGGCCTCAACGAGCCCAGTGTTCAATGTAAGAGCTATTTTCTCGGCGAATGCTGACTTCGCATTCCGATAACCACCACCGGCAACACCTTCACTAGTATGAACTGAAGTCACAGTTCTCAGCAGTGCTTCGATCGTCTTCAATATTGGTCCGTTGAACCGTGTATCAAGCTCAGCAGTGCTGAGTCAGCACTCATTCCTCGTATGAGAGATGGTCGAATCTATGGGGTAGAGTCAATGGAATCATGGGGTCCCTCCGAGCCAATATCCACGTCCGATCTGAGGTGATTATGCCCCACCCCTCGGGTTGCATCACTGCGCATATGAAACCCAACCTGAAGGAATGCTTCAGTAGCAGAGCGGATCCCTTGAAGATTCGGGTCACTACACACAGAACAGTGTCACTCATTAGTCATGACAAAGATCGAAAGATCATCCTCTCCTAGAGTATAGACCCCTAGGTCCCATCTGAAGCCCAGTATTTCGGGGACTTCCGATATCCAGATTTTGGTGAATTCTTACGTCACTCCAACAACCTTCGATAAGACTATCATCCCGGAGAAGTCTCTCAAATCCACTCATTGGTCGTACGATGCCCAAGAGCCATCCTCAAGGTACAAGATGTAGAGCAGCCCCAATATAGCCCTAATGCGAAGATAGGGGCCGGTATTATGGGCTCGCATCTCTGCATTGAATGTAGCACTGAATATCCCATCCTGGAATTGTATACTCTTTCTGAGGTTCCCACCGGATAACCATATTTTTACACTCACCGAACTCTAGCATTCTCAGCATCACCGTGGGTCTCCGGCATCTAGTCACTAGATGAGTCAGAGAATCCAATCGATTTACACTAGTCTAGTGTAAATCAATTGGACTAGCCGTCTCCCAAACTGAGGCTCCTTGACGACTGCCTTCTTAATGTACTTATCGCCTCCCAAAATCAGCAGTGAAAGCTCTGGAGCAGAAGAGTGCAGGGAGTTGACCCATTCGATCAAGGCTCATTATGACTTTATGGCTTGAAGGTCATGTATAAACCTGTTCAGGAGAAGCAATCACCAGCCGAATTCGCGGAGCCGAGATTGGCTTCTCAATAGCACTTATTGACTTTTATCATAACAGAGAATGCCGCCCTGAAGCCGCCTCTAAGACCCTGAGTCAGGGCTCTACATCAGGGAGCATGGATATCAAGAGAGACCCCTCTAAAAGATCGCTCGAATCGCTGAGCTGAGCATTTCTCACACTTAGCGCATTCTCAACTAATATCAGAACATATGATAATAAACATCAATATAGTTTATATAGATGTTATAATAGGATACATCCGATAGATGCCGGAAACGTGAAGTTCAACGCAAAAAATATGCATAATTTCCCCAACCAGCTGACCTCTGTGCTTATAGTTCGTGAGCACCCTAATTGACGAATGTCGAGTCCATATCACTTTCAACCTGAACAGCGCGCATCGATAAAAACGGAGTCGAAGTTTTCCTCCCAACAAATGCTGTCTTCAGTGTCGAATCCGCACAATCCTTGAACGGTGCTCGAATATTTTCCCAGCAAAAACCGATTCGTCGTAGAGCGACAAAACTTCGCCGTTCTAATGACTGTCTTCTCTGTACGCTGATGAATTTCGTAACATTGAATGATGCGATAGTACAGTATCGTCATCGATTCAGGCATCTTGTATTAACTGGATTGTGGATTGACCTGGCCTGTTTTGCGTTGAATACGGAAAGTTTAGCAAAATTCTATGAAAGTTATGCGGTTTGCCTGCGTCATAACGAAGTACGGACGTGAAGGAGGATGCAGAGCATCGATGCGGATTGTGCGCTGTGACGTACAACGATTATAGGTGAGTAATTTACTCACGAACGTTCTATAATGAGTTTTGTGTTCACTTCGTGAATTTTTTACGCAGTAATAATCGTTTCGGTTTCTCTGTGAAAATGTAGAAGAATATTCCCAGAGGCGCCTTCTACACGGGCTCAATAGAAATCACAGAATTAATATTTTTTCAATAATTTTCGTCCCCATACCATTCCTCCTTCAAATTACTGAGAAGTTCAACGAAGTGGCCTTACGATTTTTTCAATTCCTCATGACTCAATTATAAAGTAAA